GCGATCCAGACGTTCCCGGACATGTTCAGGATGGTGCTGCAGAAATGTCTGGACGATGGTCAGTTCCCTGATAGGTGGAAGGTACAAAAGCTTGTGCTGTTGCAGAAGCCCGGAAAACCGCCGGGGGATCCTGCATCGTATAGGCCCATATGCTTGCTGGATACTGTAGGAAAGCTCTTAGAGAGGATCATCCTCAACAGGCTGACGAAATGCACGGAGAGTGAACACGGATTGTCGAAGAGACAGTTTGGATTCCGGAAAGGGAGATCGACGGTGGATGCAATTCGGACAGTGATTGACAGAGCCGAGAAAGATTCCAAACAGAAGCGGAGAGGAAATCGATACTGCGCCGTGATTACGATCGATGTCAAGAATGCATTCAATAGCGCCAGCTGGGAGGCCATCGCCAAGGCGCTCCATAGAATGAGGGTTCCAGGCTACCTCTGCAGGATTCTAAGTAGTTATTTCCAGAACCGGGTCCTTGTCTACGTGACAGACACGGGGCAGAAATCGCTTAGAATCACGGCGGGGGTTCCCCAAGGCTCCATTCTAGGTCCTACGCTGTGGAACGGAATGTACAATGGCGTGCTGACGCTCAAGCTGCCCAAAGGAGTTGAGATCGTTGGCTTTGCGGACGATGTCGTCTTGACGGTAACCGGTGAGACGCTGGAAGAAGTGGAAATGTTGGCGGCTGAGGCGATAGATACGATTGGTAACTGGATGCAAGGAGCGAAGCTGCAGATAGCCCACCACAAAACAGAAGTGATGTTGGTCAGTAACTGCAAAGCAGTGCAGCGGGCAGAGATTACCGTTGTAGAGCACACCATTGCTTCGAAGCGCATGCTTAAGTATCTGGGAGTGATGATCGACGACCGGCTAAACTTTAATAGCCACATCGAATATGCTTGCGAGAAGGCGACGAAGGTCATCAACGCAATAGCCAGAATCATGCCGAACAATTCTGGTCCAAGCAGCAGCAAGAGACGTCTTCTGGCTAGTGTTTCCTCATCAATACTAAGGTACGGAGGTCCAGCCTGGATTGAAGCGCTGAAAACGAAGCAGAACCAAAGGAAATTGAGCAGTACGTTCCGGCTCATGGCCATGCGAGTCGTGAGTGCGTACAGAACCATTTCGATGGAGGCAGTATGCGTTATCGCCGGTATGATCCCAATCGGCATCACCTTGGCGGAGGACTACGAGTGCTATATGACGAGAGAAACCAGAGGAGTACGAAAAATGGTGAGAACGGAGTCGATGGCTAAGTGGCAGCAGGAGTGGGATGCAGCAGAGAACGGTAGATGGACACACAGGCTAATACCGACTCTTTCGACCTGGGTGAACAGGAAGCATGGAGAAGTCAACTTCCACTTGACGCAGTTCCTGTCTGGTCATGGCTGCTTCAGGAAGTACCTGCATAGGTTCGGACACACAACGTCACCCTTCTGTCCGGAGTGTGGGAATGTGGAAGAATCACCAGAGCACGTGGTCTTCGAATGTCCTAGATTTGATGATGTGCGAGAGGATATGCTCGCCCTTAGCACGGAGAATGTCGTCGAAGAAATGTGTCGAGAGGAGGGCACCTTTAACGCCGTCAGCAGAGCAGTAACGCAGATCATGTCAGCGCTGCAGCGAAAATGGCGGGAAGACCAACTAGAAAGTAGTAATGTGCTCACACAAGTGCGAACTGAAAGCCGAAGCCGGGAGAACTCTCCGTCAGAGTAGGCTGTATCCACCACCAGGGATAACCGAGTAGAACGTGACGCTGGGAGATAAATGGCTCACAAATTGGAGAGACGATCAGCGAACTGGAAGCGCCAATTAGCTGAGGTAAAGTGAGGTGCGTAATGCACGGCCCCCTCCGAAGTAATACGACAAGTGGTTCCGGGGGAAAAGGGCAAGGCGTCTAAGGAGGTTTTAGTGCGGTAAGAATCCCACACACCGTGTCACCGCGACTGTGCGCCCAGTCGTCAAGCGGTGGCACGATGGCCTTTTTGAAGGTTTCCTCCTTGCCAAAAAAAAAAAAAAAAAAAAAAAAAAAAAAAACACACACACACACACACACACACACACACACACACACACAGACACACACACACACACACACACACACACACACACACACACACACACACACACACACACACACACACACACACGTTTTAAACGTAAACCGGTGTGAGGAAACCTTTACTCAACCTCTAAACAAGCAAATGCGATAAGTGAATTTTAACCTACGAGTATCTCGAAAATAGCAACTTTGGGCAATTTAAGCAACATGAGCTTTTTTGTTGTAAATTTAATGTGTTTTAATATCAACACAATTTTAAAGATATTCGATAACTGTAGGTGGTATTTTTTCAACAATTCATAACTTTTTTGTTTATGATTTGACCAGCAAATGTATGGTGTCAGTAGGTATTACTTTATCAAAACTACAAAATAAATATTAAAAAATAATTTTAAAAAAATATGCAATTTGAGTAATTTTTTTTTTGTGAAAAAAAATTATAATTTTTTACAGTGTATATTTTTTCTTGGAAGGTAGAATACTTGTCCGCAACTTCTTCTAAGACACCATCTCGATCAAACAAATCGTTCACGAGATATATATTTTTCTATTGATGCGTATAATTTTTGCATAAGCCCTTTTCAAGTGTTAGTCGTGTGCAAAACTAGGGAGCCATGTATGTAAAATGGCATGTTGGGCAATAATAAACAACTGTGCAAAGTTTCATTATAATCGTAAAAGGTCGATCCGAAACGATTTGCGAATCTGTGTGGGGCTGCTCTATTGCCTCCTACGGACATTTTTCAGATGGATCAAGAGCTGAAAATCGTCGTCTATTATAATTGAATCGACATTAACCTAACCGAACATCTTTGCTTTTTAGAGATACAACATTTCTCACTTAAAACGATTTTTTTTTTGTATCCTATTGAGTTATTGATTTTCCAAATATATATACTAGAAAGTCATCTTAACTTAATGAACCTATTAACTTAAACTAATGTTTATAGCATTCTCTAGTTACAGCTGATCTGGATAACGGAGTTGCATCAAAGGGCGTCCAATCATCCACCAAAAAAAAAAAAGGGCGTCCAATCATGCTCAACATGGGATTCAGATTGAGAAAACTATACAGAACAACTTCGAAGACCGCAAATCGATTCGACTTCTGTGCACCCCAAAAGGTCAGGGTTCAATCCCAGCCGGCGCCACCGGGAGGCATAAAATCTCTGATCACGCCTTCCTTCGGGGAGTAAAGCCGTTGCTCCCCGGTTCATGAGTTGATGGGTCGATGGGTAGGATCCAGGTGTGGGAGATGCCTTCCTGGTGTCGGTAGCATTGGTGCTCTGCACGGAAAACAAATCAAAGGAAAAAATAACTGTCACCTAGTGCTCCGCATATACCTACAAGCTTATGAACACGTCAGTAGGTATACGCGGAGCACATGGCCACATATAAAAAAATAATAACTTTTTGTTCAGAAGTCGAAACGATTTGCGGTCTTGGACGAAGTTGTTTGGAATAGTTTCCTCAATCTCAGTCCCACGTTTAGTAAAAAATTAGCGATTTTTGAATGTTTGACAAGCAATTGAACAGTTTTGATCCGTTTCCCATACAATTTCCCATTCAAAATTTAAAGCTCTCCCACAAATCCTGATAATAATTTCATGCTTTAGGATTAATTAAATAGTTGTATCGTAAACCACATTTCAAACCTCTTTCTTCCCTTTCCCATCCAAAAAATTGTAAATCTCCACTAACCTCGAGACAACCGCGAGTACTCGGTCCAGTTCCTTTAACTTTAAATTTAAGACAGTAATAATGTATAACGCAAAGAATAACTCGGCTCTGTAAAGTTTATTCGATTGAGCCTGTACAAATAAAGTAATTATAAAAAAAAAACAAATCCTGATCTCATCGACTAAAGAAGTAATGATCTGGTATAAAACCGCACATAACATTATAGAAAGCATTCACTAAAACTCAATCGTTCCGAGGTAGCAACGTTTCACTGTAAAACCGTTTCAATTTCCACTCTATTCCACCATCCACTGCCGGCACGCCGTACGGTATCGATATGATACTGACGATGATTGCGCGCGTGAATGATTCGAAGGGTAAGACAGCCAAAGCGCACCACTTGGGTAAAATGGCCCTGCTTTTCGGCATTTCGGCACACAACATCGCAGAATTAGTATTGCACATTGCGCATAATATAAGTTCGATTATAAATGCGGAAACGCTTTTACGTTAAATCATGTTGTTGTCTTGGGCGCATATATTCCTTGGTTCATAAGGAATAACTGCGCAGACATCCCCAAGACGAAACAACACTTTTTTTTAGCGACTCCGCCCTTTAGAGGAGTGCAGTTCAAAATGTAAAATACAATCATGGGAAAGCAACGAAAAACCACCATAGAGGTGCATTATGGACTGTTCTCCCCTACCCAGTAGGGAAAACTCGCCCCAACCGGCATCATCGTCATTTGTCGTTTTCCCGATGCTTCAAGTGGCGCGATTTTTCCATTTCATTCCCATCGTAGCCGTGGAATGGTTCAGTTCGGTAAAAATATCTTGTCCATGCTTTGTCGGCACCAGCTCTGTGCGTGGTTTTCGCAACGGGAAAACTGTTCCAATACTAGCGCATTTTTGGGTTGAACTGTGGAAGAACGCGCGCGTGAAAATGGAAATGGTGTCGCGATTTCTTTGCCTTTTTCTACACCTTGTTTTCCCAGTGGAGTGTGCCATTCACCCACCACCCGGAGGAGCAGGATCCAAGCGGTAAAGTGGCTGTTATGAGTTTATAATAAAAACTCGAGGAGGGTTGGAGTGGGTTGGATTTTTCACGCGCAGGGGGTTGGAGCAAAACGTGCACAAACTAGAACAGGTGCTAGGAAGGGAACTATGTAGGGAGGGATCGCCGATTGAGGCCAATAGCCGCCAGCGCTGGCTGGGAGCGGAACTGAACCTCGTCGGAGTACTCGACGATATATGTTGTGTCTGGTCGTAGTGCCCATTATCAGAGGGAAGTATTTATTGGCGCGGCGGCGAACGGACGGCGTTTGGCAACAAATACCGAACCGTCGTCAGTCGTCAGTTTGTGAGGAACCGTGAAAGCGATCGGAACGGTTTGTTTTTCCCTTCTCGTCAGCTGGCGCGATTTGTGAAGAGTGATGAGCAAGAGTATCGTTATAATGAGTGAGGAAGAAATTATGTGCAAACTGCGAAGGACATTGTGGATTAGTTGAAGGCAGGAATTTTACCTTCAGGTGATTTATTTTTTTCGGTTTGTTCTATTCGAAATCGAATGCAAATGGGGGATTGGTTTTTCATGTGTGGTTTGCATGTGTGTTGGGAATGTAGTGAAGCTTGCCCTCACGAAGCGGAAGCGCACGGAAAGGAATCAGTGCAGTGTATCTAGCATTGTGGAAGGTTTATTGGATTTTCTGAAGAAGTTTAGTCGGGAAGAGAACAACAGCTGCGACGTAGTTCGACTCGCTAACGGGATTTTCTGCGATTTTCACTATTGAGAAAGCGTGAACAAATCGGATACATGAACTTAGCAGTTGATTAGTGTAATGTGATTTGGTTTGATCTTTGCAGAAGGAAGAGCAAACTAGTGCTTATTGAACAAGTATTATTAACGTGAGTATTAATCTTAATCACGAGTTCGAGACACGAAATAAATAAGTTCCGTTAGCCAAACAGAGTTTAATCATTAACTCTCAAGCCACCAACACCAAAAAGATGCTCCATTTCATTTCAAAATATTTTAAGAAAAAAAAAGATTTTTTTCAAAATCCTTTCATGCTCATCAAAACTTGAGGAGTCTGCGGATTTTAAGATGAATAGATAAAAAATCAGTTTCAAAAACAATTTCAGTATTAGACGTTGGGGATTTGAGACTTCATGGCCATTAATGTGTATAGCTACATTAGGGTAAATTATGTAATTTTGACATGTTGTGGAACACTGTATACAAGGGTGCGTCAAGTTTGTATGGTCGTTCACAACCCCCTGCTCCCCACTACTTTTTCGATCTGTATTAAGGTTCCCAAAAACTGTGCCAAATTTGATCGAAACAGATTTGGCTTTGAGGGACGATTGTAAAATATCTATTGAAAAAATGTATGGGAAACGGAACTGTTCATTAGTTTATAATTCTAAAATTCAATAAATTTAACCAAACCTGAGACACACATTGGGAATGCTATGCAGAACAAATTTATCCAAGACCACAAATCGATTCTTAATCTGTGCATCTGCACATCCCAATCTGTGCCGAGTACTTTATCTGTGCCGAAAGCTAGGTCAAGCGTTGTGCCGAACGTGCTGAAGTGTGGCAATCAAGGTATCAGTCTCAGTAACCCATGAGTTTGACAACCCTGCACTTATGACTTTTGAGATGTTGTGATTACATTTTCAAGTCAAGGACGGAAAAAAGTCATGAAATTGAATTCCAAGATAATATTCAACGCGCTGGTTGCCGGTCATCCGCTTCAAGGAAGTGGCAATCGAAGTGACTGATGGCAGCAACTGTCCATCCAGGAAAAGAAAGTTCTCTGCCGTGCGTCATTCAGGCAGACGTCTGCCGAAATCAAGTACCCAACCGGCAAGTGGAAGATGAATTTTGTCTGCAATATCATCATGCTACTCGGGCAATGCTACAACCTGAAAAAAAGGAAAGACTCGACCAAAAATGCCCACCGGTGGTAGTTGTAGCAGCAATATACCTGCATTAGCTTCCCAGTGTCAGCAGTCTTTTATAGGTACTAAATTCGTCTGACTGGCCCCTCCCCCCACATAAAAGGATCAAACTACTTCGTCAACGGTTTATGCAAATGTCGGTCCAGTACAGTGCAGTCGTTTGATGACTACCTCGTCCTTGTATCTGTTTGTTTTTCTTCATGCCGGAATCGCATATTAATCTCCATGAAACTGCTGCCGATTCCGATTACGTTCATTAAGACTGCGATTCAGATTGGTTCTGTTACCTCCGGTGTGGTTACCTTCACATTTATGTTAGCAGCATCTTTCTTAATGTTGCTGTTGCCGTCGGTGTTACGAAAAGTTGCGAAAGAGACCTCCACAGTCAATCGATTCTGACTTCAGTCCATAGAATGAGCTGTACGGCTGACTGATTGGTGAACCATCAATCGTACCGGGTGGTTCTGCGAAAGATCTGAAGAATTGTAGGATCGTTCGGCACCAGGCTGTTATTGACTATGGACGGATCCTATGGCCATCGAGTTAATACTTAATTCTGGCCTAACGTTTGCATTTAAAAAAAATGGGCAAAAATTGTCGATTTTTCATGGGTTTACCTTCATCCGCACTGACGAAACTACCCATGCAGCATCAAAATTTGACAGCTCCATCAGTCGAACTCTAACCGTGATGGCAAAAACAGTGAAGCAAGTCCGTTCAGAAGTGTCCACGTTCAAGGAACGGCACCCCACCGCGTCGAAAACGGACATCGTGCGGCACTTTGTGGACGCCGGATACGCCCGTTCCGGCATATACAACATCTTGGCACTATTAGACAACAATCAGAACATCGAAAAAAAACCCGGTTCCGGATGGTCGACGACCCTGAGCGACAAGAAGCTCCAAAAGATGTTGAAGAGGAAGACCGAGGGAAAAGTGGCTACATTGCTGCGTGCGCTTGGCCAGGAGGTCGGTGCAACCGGCCAAACAGTGAAAAAGTACCTGGCGAACATGAACATACATGTCAGGAACCGGTTTCGGAGCTGCAGGCAATGACGCAGCGGCAGCGGCTGAATAAGATGGTGGCAGTGGTGATGGACGAGGAGACCTATCTCACCCTGGATGGCAATGACTGGCAGGCCCCTTCGTATTTTACTTCCCCCACGAAGGAAGTGAGCTCCGAAGTGAAGTTTATTTCACACCAAGTTCCCCAAGAAGGTGCTGCTGTGGCTGACAATCAGCGAGAAGGGGATATCAAAGCCGCTCTTCTTTCACCGTGAACGGGGAAATTTATAGTACGAAATGCCTGCCGGAAGTTCCGTCGTTCATCGAGAAATACCGTAAGGGCGAAGACGCGGTGTTCTGGCCGGATCTGGCGTCGGCACACTACTCGAAGCGATCGTTGGAGGAGATGGAGCGGCTGAATATCGATGTGGTACCCAAGTCAGCGAACTCGCCCAACGTCCCCCAGCTGCGTCCCATCGAAAATTTCTGGGCCAACCTGAAGCGTAAGATCTACTCCAAAAAATTTGTCGCGAAAACTGAGGAAGAATTGCGTTTAAAATTTGTATGAAAATTAGTATGGGAAAACCTTTATTTTCATCCCTAGATCCAACAATTTTGATTGAACCATGCAACTAACTATGAACAAATATAGTCCAGAAAGTGCCTAGCAACTTTTTCCAAAGAAGCATGGTGCTAGAATGTCTCTAAAAAAATTAGACCTGTTCAAATATGATTAAATGCCAAAAATCAAATTTTCTGCCAACACTGTCGGTGTACCAATGGAAGTTAAATTCCAAACTGAAACTGAAAGTTTCTTATATTATCGATTTGGTACACACTTATAAATACCTAAACCCATTAAGGATGAGCCGTAAACAAACATGTCATGTAAAATTAAGTGCTCCGAGACTGAAAAGTTCGAAAGTACGTTTGATTGAGCTGAATTTCGCGTCTATTCCCAAGTAGCAGTGCAAGTTTTAACGTGGTTTTATAGCATTCTACAGGTCTAAATAATGTCAAATTGTTACAAAGGGTTGTGACTCCATTTTATGTCTAAATTGACGCTTGTATATGTTAGTCTCAGATCACCTAAATTTACATCATTTTTTTAAGCGTGTATATTCAAATTAATTATTAAAAACAATTGCTCTATCTCATATGCGTAGTTGGAGAGTGGGGGGGGGGGGGACTTTCTAAACCCCCTTCCCTAACCCCATCATTCATAACAATGGAAGTAAAGTTTCAAACTGAAATAAGTTTCTTATCTATTCTATTTGGTACACACTTAGAAATAACTAATTTTACACGTCACGGAATCCATCTTTGACATAAAGGATGAGACGTAAACAAACATGTCATGTAAAATTAAGTGCTTCAAGACTGAACAGATTGTTTCTCGACGGAAAGTACGTTGGATTGAGGTAATTTTCCCTTCTGCTTTGACTAAATGTTATGTCAAAACTGACGTTCGTATATGTCAGTCTCATTTACATAATTTTTTTAAGTGTGTATGTTCAGATGATTTATTCTAAAATAACTCCTCGATCTCATAAACGCTTTTGTTGATTGTTTATTGTTTCAATGATTTAACTGACTAATGGTTGCCTTAATGAATTAAAAAAGCATAATTAAAAACAAAGACAGGAAACGTTCTAATGCAGGACAGTCTTCTAATAAAAACAGTTAACGGCATATTAAAGTCGAACAATGCATAAACGTCATTAAACGCATTAGTGACGGCACGAATAGGTTCATTCAACCCATATTACCGGTTACGAGCTCTCGAGATGAATAAAATGAGGCTGTCAAATCACTCTCTCAGGTGCGTAAAAGAAGAGCTGGCGAAGTAATTCGGGGGAATCAATCTCGCTGGTAATGATCTTAGCCGCAAACACAGCTTGCGCGTTCCGTCTTCTTCGTTCCAAGGTGTCAATTCCAAGCAGGCAACAGTGATCCACGTAAGATGGCAAGTTAGCCGTGTCACGTCAGGGCAGATAACGAAGCGCTTAGCGAACAAACTTTCTCTGTACACTCTCAAATCTGGCTACCCAGCATGCTTGCTACGGGCATTGGACGATAGCACTATACTCTAAGATTGAACGTAGTAACGAACAATACAGCGCCCGCAGGCATAGTGGATGGCGAAAGTTTTCAGGTATTTTGAACATAAAGCCAAGCTGCTTGTTAGCTTTAGGATGTCATTGTAGTGCGATTTGAAGGTCAATTCACAGTCGAGTGTTACTCCCAAATCTTCGATCCGGCAAATCCTCTCTAACGTTTGCCCGTGAATTTAATAATCAAATATTTTCGGGTTTTGTTTGCTATGAAATGTTAAGGCATTGCACTTGTTGATGCTAAGCGTCAAGAAGTTACGGGAGCACCAACTCTGCATACGATCCACAATCAGCTGCAACTCTTCTGCGATGCAATTGACCATATACATTTTGACATCGTCAACCTAGAGTAGCCGACATCCAACTGGCAGTAGACAGGGAAGCTCGTTGACGAAAAGCGAAAACAGAAGGGGTCCCACATTACTAGCTCCAATCTTAACGCAAAGCGAACGGTTCGTAAGATAAGATTTGAACCACGAGATGAAGGATCCAGACACTCCGAGTTTCACAAGCTTGCTCAAAAGAATGTTGAGGTCTACTCGGTCAAATGCAGCCTTCCCAAGTGACATTGCATTATGATCTACAGAACCCTCATAAAACCAAAATTGTTACTTGGGTTGAGATCAGTGTAAACAGCGTTGGTTTGTTCGCCAGAGTTCATGGTCCGAATGCAGAGCGACACGAATTCGGTCAAATTGGTTGCAACTGACCGTTTTGGGTAGAATCCAGACTGAGCCGTAGAGATTTAGTTTTTACAAGAGCTGATGAGTGCCTTATTGAAGATGATCTCTAATACTTTGGAGCAGCAACATAGTGATG